GTAAATAGAAAGAACCCAAGAGTATGAATGTAAATATTTGAGTTAAAGGGCTCAATTTTACTGTACAAGTGTTAACAAAACATGGCCTTATTTTTAATGCTAAGTAGGCAGTATTTGTTCATCATGACTATGGTATTAAAACTACATGGTGTTTCTACACCACTCAAAGTGCCTTCCTCTGAATTTGTATTAATCGAATGATACTACTGAGTTAAGTTTTGCTTGACAGATTCATATTCATCTCTCTTCCCCTTCCAAGGCAAATTCACAGACGCCAAGGGGCTCCACGAAATTGTCGTACACCACGCATACGTACAATGCGACAAAAGGCACCACGGTGGTGAGATGTTAACTACCTTGCCTGGTATACAGTAGGTCGTGGGTTCGATCCCGACCCTGACTCATGTATATTTGGAGTTTGTATGTTCTCTCCGTGGTCGCGTGGATTTTCATCCGGGCAACTTTGGGTTTTCCCTCCACATTTAGAAACACGCATTGAGAGAATTTGGCTGTTATAAATGTCCACATGATAAGCCACTTCATTGAGCTATAATTTGTGGGCAGGTTGCTTCTGAATAAGAGCTGTATAGCTCAGGAGGCTTTACCTGGTTAAATATTTTTAGTTTTGTAATACGAATATATACCTACCATCTGCTACTGAGGTTTCCGAATCATTCCTCCTTTCATTCAGTCTTGTTTAGAAACAATGTAAAGCCAGGCGAGATATACCCACTCAACATTGTGGGCCCTTTCAAAGCCAAACAAAGGCCAAGTATGCATATCAACCGTTCTTCCCCACTAATTTACATGTTGAATGAGCGCGATGTGCATCTGTAGTAGGCATCGCCAACACGGCATGATGCATGGCGACACAATGAGACTTCCAGTCGCCGACGCTTGATGAAAATTTAAATAGTGTGGCAGGTGTTGGCATTTTGACACGGTGAGAGGTGATTCCCGTTGGTAATTACCAACGCAGCAAGCAACTGTAGACATCGCTATGTAATGTGCAATTGCAACGGTGAGTCTTGCTGTTGTTTTAAAAACACTTATGTACTTTAACGCGGATTTTTTCGCGACCAATATTATCCACAATAGAGGTTTTATTGGGTTAAATCACGTAAATATAAATGTATCGTTAAACCCGCCACCACCCGATACAGGCGGTATGTTTTGGGTTTTACTCTCCAACACACAAGCAGTGTGCTGTACTAGTAACGAATTGGCACGTTCTGTTTACGTGACAAACCTTACTAATTGGCTGTGTCGGGTGGTGGCGGGTTTAACGACACATTTATATTTATGCGATCTCACACAAAAACCTGTATTATGGACTTGTGTACTTTACTTTACACTTGTTGGCAAGCTGGGACCTAGCAAATGGGTAATGCACATTCGTGTGTTAGTGAAGTATTCATAACCAAAGATCTCTTAATATCAGGCGGGAGGTGTAGACATCATGATTCTTAAATATTGATAAGTGCTTGGCATTGTTTATGCATATCCGCAGCAGAAAATCCTATAAATATGCAAAATCCTCATCAATAATAACGTGCATCATTATTTTTTTAGGGTTTAATTAACACTAAAAGGCAATATAAAACAATGAATTATCCACAAGCTCTCCGATTAGTCAATTTGTGTGCATATTTGCACATGCGATTGATTAAAAAAGCATTATAAAACATATGTCTTGATGCAAGAGAGACATATCTTTATATTCTACATTTTTTTTAAAGTAAATGCGCTAATGATATAACAGAACCTGCATTGTGTAGCTAATTGTATTTTCAACACTCCACGGAAGACGTTTACAGCTGATATTTATAACGTTAATGTAAAAAAAAACATAGTTAATGAAATTGTATAAACAAGCACAAATATTCCCTATTTATTTGCATTGATTGGTTTAGGTATGCCACAAAGCATGCGTAGGATATGTGCAATTAGTTGGGTAATGTGAGTCCAGTTTGGGGTGACAGTATTGTCTACTTACGAGTAATTTCCAAACATCAAGTGTGGCTCATGTGGTGACCGAGCAATGGACATTAAATATATATATATACAATCGATATATTGACTACTTTAACATTGACTTAGCATTACCTTGACGGGGTTTGATGTCAAAATTTCACCCTGGATGTCTTCTATGAATAGTGTCAAAGGATGTGGGATGTGTCTAAACTCATGCACATGTAATCCATGACCGGGGCATATATCTCGAGCCTGGCTATAAGCTCTGAGAAAAGAACTCCAAAGACACCTCTCGATTTGGTCACCTCTACATTGTTTACACATATATATAGTGACGACAAGTCGAAATATAAATACAATGTTGACGTATTATAATGCAGTGACATCGCGGATGTCACTGTGTAATGCCGGCCCTGGAGGGGCTCGGTGAGCACTGACTGACAGCGCTGGATGGCACCACGCTCTGCGTGCAGTGCCGACCCCTACAGGATAGGGTGTGAGAGTGCCGGCCATGGGAATGGGGTTACTCAGGGACATGGCACTCTGGTTGACCCCGAAGGACACGTGATCGGTAAAGTCTACACAGGGCTCCCAGGTAGGGGCTAGGGGTGGTCACGTGTCAGGTCCGAGATCCTGCTCGAGCATTCTCGAAGGTGGTCGTGGACAAGGGCGGAGCCAGCCACAGAGGATATAAGCCGGGTCCCCGAGAGGGACCGGCTGCTGTTGCTAATCCTTGAAGAATCTATGTTCTACGTTTTACGTCCTACAGAGTCTCCAACACGTGGACCTGGACCAAAACTGTGGTCCGGTCCGTTGTAGCTAGTTACCGTGTAATTAGTGCGGTTAGCCTGGTGGACCACCACTATATAGTACGTCTCAGTTGAATCCACTACAATAATAAAAATAATTCAACAGAAAAGAGATTTAACGTCAGGCAAGATAATCGTGCCATGAGGTCTGGCATATAAGCGGGCTAGCTATCATGAGTACCATCCGACACGCGAAGAGGGAGGATGCCGCCCCGTGAGATCTTTAGCACTTGCCAGTCATTCTTTATCCCGAGCCACGAATGCAAAAAACATTTTCCCCCCACCCTGTACGCAAATAGCAGCCTATTTCGCAACTGGGACTCCACACTCAGTCGTCTGTTTATCAAGACCCAACTAAAATTAGAAGCAAATCGTCCCGTGTAGTAGTAGTAAAAAAGCCCGGGTGTGCGGAAAATATCTAGCCTCTGAAGTAACGTCTTGGGTGTCGCTGACGTCACTGGCAGATCAGCGGACTCGCATCAGCAAGGCCAGCTATATTTGCACCCTTTCATCAGCGCGGAGGCAGACTTTCTCTTTTTTCCATCCCAAGTTTGGGATTCATGACTGAACGGGGGGGGGGGGGGCAAGCGGCCATCTGCGCAAACAGCTGTGGCCACCGTGGGTTTCCAAAGGTTCATTCATCAAGATTGTGTTGTTGCAGAAATACATGAGTGGAAATTCATATGCTTGGACTTTTAAAGATTTCGTACAATAACGTAGCAACCACCCCACCCTTCCCACCCAGTCTGTGCAATGTTGTTTTTGTTCATAATATAGTTTTTTTGGGTAAGATAGCGTGAGTATAAATGTGTCGTAACCCGCCACCACTCATCACAGCCAACCAGTAAGGTTTGTGACGTAAATAACATGTGCCAATTAGTTAATACTTCAGCCCACCGCTGTGTTGGAAAGTAAGCCACAACATTTACAATTTGAGTACGACGTTTTGCGGGTAATTATACATCCAGCATCATAGGGCGATTTGCCAGAATTGTGAAGAGATCCAAATGCTTCCGGTCCTAAATAGAGCAAGATGGCGTCGTCACTGTCACCCAAACAGGTGCGGAGATCAGAGGGGGGAGGGGGGTTATCGTAATTATATAACAATAGATTGTTAATTACAGTTGATAAGCAAGTGTTGCCTTTACATGGCATACAATTGTAAAGTGTGTTACTTATAATACGCTTCCAGACCACACAAAGTATTTTTAATGTGTTCTAAATATATACTTTTTTAACTAGGGGTATTTTCATTGCATTCTGTATACGTGCATTTATTCCATAAAGGAACATATTCAATTAGCGTGAGATCAGAAAAATATTATCATCCTAACTACCCCTATCCCATTTAATTTATGTTGTGTGATAGGTCTCCCACATGGGAAATCATTGCTCGGACTTGGGGCATTCCACAGAATTACAACTGCCACAGAAGGGATGGAGACACGTTATTAATCCTACTTAGCATTGTTTTAATTAAATATGTACTAGATCATGAACAACAGTCAGCTGGACTTTCTTGTTTGCTTGCCTCTAATGTCAAACGAGGCTTGGTTTTGGTCACAACGTGTAGGAACCTGAAAATATCCTTCCCTTACTTTTGCATCACCATTTCCATCAGAGTAAACTATTAAATGTACTTCATCTTTATATGTATGTATGTTGAACTTCTTTCGCACTGTACGTAGCCAACTAAACACAAAAAACAGTTCTAACGAAATTAGTTTTCAATCTAGATTTAAAAGTGCATTATAGCTGCCAATGGCTTCCTAATATCGGATAGAAGAGCGATCCAGACGGCCGCAGAAGCACATCTGAAAGTGCGAGGATGCAGTGACCGTCTAAGTTCGATGGCCAGCCAAAAGCCGCTGCTGCTGCTGCCAGGATAACCGGAGTTCTCGTGATGACGACACTTCCACAGCAACAGTCAATAAAAACCTACCCACGTACTCCACTTCACTTACCCTGTTCACAATAGCGAACAACTCTCAGATGGGGTTGTACCGCCTTTTTTGTTGGGCGCGCAGTCCGACGTTTTCACTCCGCGTACTGCGATCTTCTCCAGGAAACCGAATTAATGTTAAGAAGCTCCCAGCACAGCGGCTCGACCCGAAAGTGCATCGGAGAGCCGTCGCGGCACAGCCGTGCAAACCCACGCGGTGAGAAAAGCCTCAGTTGAAAGAGAGAAGCACGCCGAGGAGTTCAGAGACAACTCACCTGCACCTGCGTGCTGCTGCCCTCTCCGCTGCCCGCCATCGGCTTTTGCTGCTGGGCCGCTGTCATCTCTGCCATCCGCCTCTCCATTTGCTCCAGTCGCTCCAGGATGGACATCCTGAACTGATTGTCTGCGGCACCACAAACACACACAGCGCAATGGATGCGGCGTTCAGCGCAATGTCAGCAACGTTTAGCATTTCACGGGCAATGCTGGATTCCGCTACATATAACCGGGAATGTTCCCAAGCAACGCAAAACTATTGTTTTCGTGAGCAAGGTGGATCACCCGCAGCTATCCGTGCTACGCTAGCGTTTATTAATGCATTCCTAGGGTTTAGTTTGCACGAGGGTTGGTGGTCATTTACAGATGTAATCGAATTTGGGAATGCACAAACATTTGCATGCACATAACAGGTCCCCTGAGGGCAACTGACAAGTGGGTGAGATGGAATGGTCAATCACTTTTCTCTCATGACAGATTCTAGCCCCTGGACTAGCACCATGGTCATAATATTGATATGTTACGAACAATAAAATGTTGGTTGGAAAAACAACACGAATAATAATTATCACAAGATAAACAGGATCAAAGGTATTTTCAAGGCATTGTGATGTAATTATAAACAAAAATGTACACGTGAATGGTTAATATTAGAGAACAGGTTCTTAGCTCCAATTTTGTAAAATAGCCATCCTTGTATTCTCATTTAGAAAGGATGCCAATTAATAGAATGCGTCCACCAAGGAGATGGAGCGATTAAAATCATCCTCGTGCAGGTGCTCGGCAGACTGTTACATGACAGAACTGTAATAGGCAGCAATTAAACTGTTAAACTAATTTATTTGACCAGATAAGGCCTACTGAGATATCCAGCTCCTTTTCAAAAGTGACCTCGCTATCACAAATGATAGCTCAATGAAGTGGCTTATCACGTAGACATTTATAGCAGCCAAATGCTCTAAACGCACATTGATTCTAAATGTTGAGGGAAAAACCAGAGGACTCAGAGAAAAATCCACGTGACCACGGAGACAACATGCAAACTCCAAATATACAGGCGTCAGGGTCGGGATCGAACCTACAATTTCCTGTATACCAGGCGAGGTAGTTAACATCTTGCCACCGTGGCACCAGTGGCGACTTAGGAGAGGCTTTTAACCAGCAATGGATTGATCATGGCTACTGCTGATGATGATCAAATGAGAAGTTATTGTGTTGCACAGTGACTGGCACTTGTCGTGGACGAGGATGTGTGATGCTATAGACATGTTAATCCAGGGATGAACTGTGAAGTCAATTGGGACACATTTGACGCACATCAACTCATGAAAGGGGTCGAATAAGGAAGGCGAGCGGATGGGAACAGCAGAGATTAACATCGTGTGGTCATCACATTGGCAAAGATGACGGGCTTTTCAAATTTATGCACAGGTGCAAATGTGTATACAACAACTTTTTAGGAGCGTTAGCAAAACATCAACCTTTGTGCACACGAGATAGCTGTGATTAATATTAAAACGGTAACAGAAATCAGCAGGTGTGCTATTTCATGACTCAGAAATTCAACGGTCGCCAGTTTATTAGCTACCTGCAGACAGCCTAACATATATCACTGGAAACAAAATAATAGATATTTTGGATGATTTATATTACACGAATAGTACTCAAAGCTGCTGTAGTGAGACAGAAAAAAACAGCAGCTGATTAAAAAACAAGAGCTCAATACCTTGGTCAATAGCCCCTAATGAGGCCTCATGTAGGCTTATTGTCGATTTTCATTGTGGGTTTGCTAAACCATTAGATATTTAGGTGCTAAATCAGCATCAAACTAAGACAGCCTGCAAAGATAGAGTTCAGTTTTATCAGATTTGTTTTACCCATAAAATTATTAGCCTTAAGATAGTGTGACAAATGGTTTCCACATCACCGAGTTTCCTTCCAGATCAATAATTCACTTACATTTTCTTTTTGGGTGTACATAAAACGATTATCCAATACACAAGTGCAACACTAACAATTGCTATAGTTGTAGAGAAACTGACCATAATAGACGAATTCACTTGCATGGATTTTTTTAGAGATGTAAACACACTTTTTTTGTGACCAAAGCTGAATGCAAACTTCAGCCAATCGGAATGGGGAGAAAACATGGGAAGCCAGCTGCTAACCCAGCGATGCAAAGTGAACGTTAGAATCGTGTGGAACATCACAAAGGCTGTCCTCCTCTGTGCAGTCTGGTAAACTAGAAGGAGCAGCAAGTAGATGACACTCGGTCAGTTTAAATAGACGATTAAACGTCTGGGAATAGTGTATCTGAATTGGGGAATGAAGGACATAACTTTGGAAGGATGGACAGGAAGGGTAGTAATGGGGAATTTTCGAGCACAGAAGGGGCACGTTATTATTGTTGGAGGAAGAACCTGGAGGGAAGGAGACTTGAAAACGTCTGGCAAGCTCTGTAGGAGGATGACGAGAAATTTGTAAGAGGGCACGTGGAAAGGAGGAGGTCGTGAAGGTGGTGCCCTAGAGTGCTGTGAGAACACTAGGAAGAATAAACTATTTCCAAAATGGGACCTTTTTTGCCAGTATCAAAAGGTCCCATTTTGTAGCTGCTCACCCCGAGCTATAAATACTTCTCATAGTGCATTGTCCTTGTGCTGTTCGCCTTTTGGCGTTCTCTGGTCTAATACTGTTTGAGACTAGGCCCTAAAGAAGGCTGTCTCTGGTGTGGACCAATCAGTTTCAAAGACAATGCATATATAATTATCAGAGGATGTTTGTTTGCATATTCACCACAAGTACTGAATGTGGTTAATGCGAACTTGATTGCTTGCAAAAGGTTTCTGTTTGGTGTTTGAACATCTTAACACCAGTTTTATTAATCAGCCCAACTACCGCCCCCCTTTGTTCTCCAATACCCTCCCTCTCCCGCATAATGAATAGATGTTATCAATCCGCTTAACTCAGCGTAGCACTTGCCCCCTCTCGATCCCTCAACAGCAACCCCCCCCTCCCCCCTACCTTGGCTCCCCCCCCCCTCTTACCCTATATAGTCGCGTTTCTTTATTAGCTCTCTTCACTTATTACAGTGAATTTGGCTCTAACGGTTCCACCTGAAGACGGAAGCTTGTGTTGCCTCCGAAACGTCGTGATTTAATTTAGTTGTTTTTTCATTTATTTATTTTTTACCTACGTGACTTTACCGAAAAAACCAAAGAATATGAATCCTTGCAGTCACGAAAACTTCAAATCTAGAACCAGTTTCATTGACAGAAAGGGTAAAACCTATTCTTATTTTTCATAATAAACTATTTGTTGGAATAGAACTTTGGGGGTGGGGGTTGGGGGGAATCTATTGTTAAATAAAAGCTGCTTTTCGAATTTTCTGAAATGAACTCCTATTTTATTTTCTGACCCCCTAAGCATGAGAGACACATTCTCCACAGTAGATTCCTCGAATAGAAAAGCCACATGTTAAACACAAAAATAACATGATCTGTTGAAAAAGTATGAAGAGGTGCAGCTAAGTGGGCGACAAATACATCTATTTGCAGTTTACACCCAAACAATGTCACACATAAACACAGGATATACTTTAAGCTTACACACCTAGCAATATAAAGCTATATAAATGTGTTATTGGGTAAAAAAACAAAAACGTGACATCCCTCGTGTGTGCAACTATCCAAATCCTTTAAACAATGCTCTTACCGAGTAAATGAATGAGGAGCTTTGTCTTTGTCTACAATACACACTGTAACGTAAGTTTAAAAGCAAAACATCCTTACGAGTGAGGGTAACATGCATGACATTGCACCGAGTTCGTCGGTGAAACGTGTTGAGCTGAGACGACGCCTCGCGAGGTTGGCATTGGATTGAGGAAATAAAGGTAGGTGAGGGTCTATCCCAGTTCGCAAAACAAGTTCGTAATACACCTTTTGGGTGAGAACGCGTAAATATAAACGTGTCGTTAAACCCACCATCACCCGACACGGCCAATTAGTAAGGTTTGTCACGTAAATCCTTATTCAAATTTGGTGACCCCCCCAAACTAAACTAAATTCGCTTGGGCAGGGCACGTCGCGAGAATGGACGGGGCACTGATGGGTGAAACTAGCAGCGGAGAGAAAGCCAAATGTAAGGAATGGACGCAAAAAGAATCGACATCTGTAGAAATGGACTAAATGAGATCAACTTGCGTGCAGGAGCTACAGTTCTGATATTGTGACAGCTTTGGGAAGGCTTTCATTCAGCAGTGGATAGATCATGGCTGCTCCTGATAATGCATATATAAACATAAAATATGGTGGTCAGAATGAATGGGGAACAGCTTCAAAACCAGTGACTTGCTATATTTGGGAAGCTGATTTAATTTTTGTATACAGTAGCTCACCGGATTTGAATACAGAGAAACCTGTCTGATATTGGCCTAAAACTTACACAATGCGGATTACCCTAGATCCACTCAGAAATCACCAGATCCAGCTTAATTCCGATGTGCTTTTGCAAGCCATACCATACTTCAAATCGCATTAAAATTCAGCACACCAAACAAAAGTGTCCTCTATCCAACGTTAGATTTGAATGAAACTGTTGCTTAACAGAGAGGTGTTTAAAAACCCCGTGGAAAAAAACATCTGTTGAATAACCACGAAGCAGTGTAGCTAAGTGGGTGACAAAATACATCTCTTTGCAGATTATACCCAACCAATTTCACACATGCACACAGGGTACACTTTACGCTAATGCAACTCGCAACATAAACCTACCGTGTGCATAACTTTCGTTAATTGTCGACACTCTGCATCATTAACATTACGTGAGTATAAGTACACGGAGCGTTTAGGGATGAATGAACCCGTTGTTGCCAAATGGCTCATTACACAGCAACGGACGTCACAATTGATTTTGCAATCGGGCTTGTGTTACAGAAGGGTTACTATGCTAATTACAAACCAATCCGTTTTGCTGGACTGCTTAAATGTAATGCTTAATACTGGTAGGAACCACCTGGTTCCACCAGCCCACAGGGGATTATTGTGTCCGTCCGTCCGTCGTGCATCCAAAAATGGGAGGGGTGGGGCTGGGTGGAGAGGGGAGGGTGGGGAGGGGCTGGGTGGGGAGGGT